CGCGGGGGCGCTCAACCCTGGACGCGGGCGCTGGTCTCGCCGCAGCACGGTGGCGGCGTGCGCACGGGGGGGTAGGGGGGAGGGGGGGGAAGTCTTCTTGGAAGGAGGCTGCTTCTTAGAGGGCGCTGGGGCTCGAGGATGCCACATCTGCAGCCAAGGCCCGCGTCTTCTAAGAAGCAAGGGCCTAAGCAAGGGTGCTTCTAAGAAGCCTTCCTCCTTACCCTTACCCACTCTGCGCGTGGCCGAGCAGCCTGCCCACAGCATACTGTCAGGAGAACTGGGAGTACCACATTCATCGCCACACTGAGTGGCACTGGGTGGACGGGGACCTGGATCGGTGCAGGGAGGTGGCGCCTTCCTACCACTGCCCTGCTCCAGCCCGCGCAGAGTAAGGGCGCTTGCCTGCCACTGTTGCCTTCCTGCGCGCTGCCGAAGCACCGAAAACCTTGGGTTACCCGTCGCAGTGGCGCCGACGACTTGCTTGCGGGCAACCCCGAGGAGAACGCGCACACCGTGTTCCGCAGCAGCCGGTACCCGCACCCAGCGCCGACCCCGAGCGGCAAGTCGCCGCCGGATGCGCACACGCTGCTCTTCGTCAGCAGGACGACGACCGCCACGCACCGGAAGACGACGCCCAGCAGGACAGCGTGCATGCCTCGGCTAGAGCGGAGGAGTGGCGCAAGGCGGGAGTGACATTTGGTGCGCGGCTTGCCGATCGGCGCATGAGATGCGACAGTATAGCGGCCCGCGTGCCCACCCGAAAGCCACGCTCAGAAAGGCCATTATGAGGAAGGGTCACTCTTGCGCATCGCCGAGTGCCGTGGTCGACGAATCCGAGGTGTTGCTCCCAACGCTCTAGCACCGACGCAGGCTGGTGGTCGATGTTGACGTGCCCGTCGGGCAGCACATCCAGTCTGTAGCCCCTGCCGTCGAAGTAGCCCGCCTTCCTCTCTCTCACTGCGCCCTGCGCATACTGATTGCCTGGAGCGGTGACCTCACGGAACAAGAGCTGGGCCATCCCCCATCGGATTGGAGACGCCAATACGAAGAGCCTGCCGCATCCGAAGAAGGCTGGTATTGCGTCGTGCGCCCTCGGCTGCACACCACAAAACATGAACGACACGAAGGCGGACGCGACCCCGGTGATCATTGCCAGTTGCGTCTCGAACGCGATGGCGAAGATGTGGTTCAAACCCCACACGGCGTACGTCACGGACAGGCCGAGCATAAACACGTCCGCACACGACGCGAACGTGTGCGACACCGGCCAGTACACGAGCGTATAGGTGGCCGCAGACAGCAACATCTCGACCACGCTGGCCAGGTCTTTGCCCACGAACGAGAGGGCCACCTGGGCCAGCGTGCCGACCGCGGCCTCCCGCGAGGCCACCTGCTTCTCCTCGCCGCCGAAGGTCCTCTGCGACACGACCGACTGCGACAGGGCGAGCAGCCAGAACGTCAGGCCGCGCCCCAGGAACACCTCGGCATCGTCTGATCTTGCGGGCAAGACTTGTATCCATATCCAATGCGTCTTGAACTTTTTTGGAAGAAGCGCCTCAAGGCCGAGGCGCACTGGACATGGACAAAAACCTAGCCTCTACGGTGGGCAAATTTGTCCATATACAGTGTGCCTCGGGATTCTGGGGAAGGGAGCCCGAAACTCCATACTGCAGTGGATATGGACAGAAGTATTGCCCGCAGATCTACCTCCATCCCCACCAGGAAAACCTTGGCCCCGCCTGGGCGTCGCTCCATGGGAGGGGCTATACATGGGGGGGGGGGGTGCACTTCTCGGGCCCAAAGGCCCCCTTTGGGGCCCTAAAGGGGGCCCAAAGACCCCCTTTGGGGCCCTAAAGGGCTCCCTTCGGGGCCCTCAGGGGCACCTTTTCTGCAGCCATCGCTGCCCCCCCAATGGTCGCCTCGCCCCCATTACGCGACGCCCAACCCGCTGCGGGGACAGAGAGGCCCCCTCCCCCATCGGGCTTCGCGGCTCGCCTCCCCGCCTCGAGGGTGCAGGCTGGTGGCGCTAAGTCTGCGACACGCAAGAGCGACCCTGGGCAAGAAACACCTTTGGTGCGCCGCTTTCGGGGAGCCGTAGGGGGCCAAACCCAAGCGCGCAAGACGCAACTATCGCATCGCATTCGACGATCGGGGGACCCCAGCGAGACCGCACCACAAGGTCACTCCAGCGAGAGGTCACTCCTGTGTGCAGTCGACGAAGGCACCCTGGCCCACTGGGGGATGGGGATGGGGTATGACGATGCCGAACACCAGCTCAATCGTGGTCGCTGGGAAAACGGCGCCAGCCGCCCCCATGCCCATCGCGAGGAGCAGCGTGTTCAGCGCCATGGCTCGGAGCAAGGCCAATTGAGGCAACGGCTGGCTCTCCCGCCAGGCCCAAGCCCGGACAGAGTGGGTCCTCGGGATCCTCTCGGGGCCCATGCTGAACCCGCTTTCCGAGGCGGGTCCAGCCGTGGCGACGAGAAGCCGCTTCCCAGGCGGCCCCATAGCAGGAGGGCTCAACGCCGGCGCAGGACGTCGTTGCCCCGACAAGCCATCCTCCAGATGGTGGACAGGGACCGGCTCATGACCAGCAGCGCGCGGGAGAACTGCACGGACACCTGCTGTGCCCAGTGGAACGACTGCACCCTCTCCCGGGTCTGGCGCTGCAGGCTGCCCTCCAGGGAGGCCTCGACCTCTGGCAGGCGCCGCTGACGTCGACGCCGTCGACGACGTCGACAACGACAACCACGGTGATGACGATTACGATGACGATGCCGATACCAATACCGACGACGACGTCGACGTCGAGGCCGACGTCGACAACGACGACAACGACAAAGACGATAGCAACGACAACAAAGACAACGTCGACGCCGACGTCGACAACGAGGAAAACGAAGACAAAGACAAAGACAACGACAAGGACGACAAAGACGACGACGACGACGTGGACGACGACAACGACGACAAAGAAGAGGGCGTCGACGACGACGACGGAGACGACAAAGACCACGGCGTTGACGACGATGTCGACGACCAAAACGACGGCATCGACCTTTCGCACGCGCCCGCCCGGGAGAAGCTCCAGCCTCCTCGCGCCGGCGGGGAGGGGCCCCAGCGTGGGCAGCAGCAGGCCGTCCTCCTCGGGGGCAGGCCGGTTCCGAGAAAAGGCCTGGGCCACCCAGCTTCCCAGGCAGAATACTGTTTTGTTCGAATGAAAGTGAAGGGGCCCCAGGACACACAAATAGATACACACAAATACAAATATTCTCCATATTGTCACATATTTTCTGGGTATCTGTCTTCCCGCCCAATTCCCATATTTTCCCATATTTTCTTGGGAATCGACGATTCATTGTGTCTGAATGTTTCTTTCCCTCCTGAGAAAGGTTCAACAATGGGGCGAGAGAGGTGCCGGCCGATAAACGGACCAGTTTCGCGTCGTGCAGCCCCGCGTGCCAGTACTGCCTTCGGACCAATACCACGTACCCCCTGCGGACCTGCGCAACGGTTAGCCTGAGGTCGACGTGGGGGAGCGGGCGGCCAGATAACCCCGAGCTATCGCTGGACTCTAAAAAAAAATGACCCTATCAGAACGGACGTCTGTCGTCGATTTCGGCCTCCCGGGGGCCATTGCCGGGCACGCGGCCATTCAAGGCTCGGGAGGGGAATTGCCCCAGGGACATCGTACAAACAGAAAACAAATGGGACCTCTGGGTTCGCTCCTCACGCCGCCTGAGCGCGACCTCCCTCGCGCCCTCGATTAGCCGCCACCCTGGAGAAGAGCAAGGCTCATGCCCATGCCCCAGGGGGGGACCGACCCACCGCCCAAAAACTCCCGTGAAGAGCGCACCTTTCGAATGTGGCAGGTTCGTGTCGTGACGACCTGGGGCGTTGGTTTACAACACCGCGCGAATCGTTGGACAAAGAAAGATCGCGGCTTCCCAGTGACGCAGATCGGTCGATGCTGGCCGAGGGGACACCGCCGACGTTTGACCTGGAAGGCCCGCGGTCTCGTCGCCGCTGCGTCGAGGCGGCGCCAACGAAACACTGCCGCGAGCGCGACCTTCAAGGGCATCGGCCCCTTCGCCGAAGGCCCATGGAGGAACCAACGGAGATCTGCGCGGACTTCTAAGAACTGCGCGGATTCCTCTGAGATCGGCGCGGATTTCTCGGATCGGCATCGGCCCCCCAGATGCGCCTCCGGCGCCGCCCCTGTCGCGCTCCGCGCGCCAGGGAGGGAGGTCCAACGCCGATCCGAGAAATCCGCGCGGACATCCGAAAGCGCATGCTTTTGCAACGTTTTGATCCTCGACCGCAGGACCCAAGGCCCTGCAGGGGGGCACAGAACGAAGACCATTCGAAGGTGGAAAGCCCAAGCACGAGGAACAGAAGGGCACCCCTCGCCCGGGTCTTGTTCGATCCTCATGCCAGCTGTGCAGCAACGTCGTTTGGGCCCACAGGGGGGAGGGCCAACTCATACGCCGCTGCCGGTCCTCCCCGCCGCAGTGGGCCAGCCCGCCCTCGCTCTGCGGCACGCGGCGCAGGATCTCCATGTGGATCGCCGTGAACTCGCTCCACAGCCACGTCAGCACCTTCCCAAACTCCTCCTCGTGCGGCCCCGAAGCTCGGAAGAGGGCCTGTTGAGCCAGCGGCGGCATCCCCTGGCGGATGACGTCCTCTTGGGGCCTCCTGGCGGCTTCTCGTCGCCACGGGAGGACCCGCTGCGAAAAACGGCCGATATCGAGCTGGCTTGGGTGGAGTAAGGCGGGAGGGCCGCCGATGTCTCAACCGGCCCTCCTCCGACACGCCTGGAAACACGAACTAGTGACCCTAGGCAAGAGTTGCCTTTGCTCTGGGGCTTGCCGATCGTTGGATACGATGCGGCATCAGCGGCATGCGTGCTTGGGCATGACCCTAAGCGCCCCCTGGGAGCAGCGCGCCAAGGGCAACTCCGGCGAAAAGGGTTGTTTTTACGTGCGGTCGCAAAAAGATCCGCACCCTGATGGCGACAGTGATGTCATGATCAGATTGGGTCAGGATGCATTCCAGGATTCCCAATGAGAATCTAGCGGCGCAGCCAGCGTTGAACATAAGGAAATATGGGGAATCCTGGAAACCTAAGACATTCTGGAGCGTACCATTATCATGACCTCCTGCGCCTCTGAAACCTGGTCTTCGGTTTCTCCTTCGCTGATTGTGCTTCGGCGTCTTCGAACAACTGAGCCTAGCAGCCGAAGCAATCCTCGGCAACGCCCGACCCCCCCCCCCTCCCCCGCGGGCACAAAGGCAGGGGCATCGCCGAGAGTGGCCCTCGGGGGAGCACAGTGCGGAGGGACAGAGCGAGAGAGCCTCGGCGCGAGATCTGGCCGCTCAGCGGCCGCCGAACACTGCCAAGGCAGCGGTACGCAGGCAACTCTTGGCGGCGCGCAGAGGGGGTTAGGGGGAGGGGGGAAGGCTTCTTGGAAGAGGCCTCCTTCTAAGAAGCCTCCCCCCCTCCACCTATCCCCCTCTGCGCGTGGCCGGGATTCTGGGTGAGGAGCGACTGGCCCCCAGGAGGGGGGCGAATAGTTCAGTCCATTGCGTCGTGGGGCTGCTGGGGATGACAGACAAGCACACAAAGGAAGGGGAAAGTGCCCGGGGGGGCACTATGTGAGCGCCGCGTATTAGTGCGCGACGCTGGCGCTGGTACGACGAAGACGAGCGCAGAGTAAATGTGGACATGGGGAGGGGTGCGGGCGCTGCGGAGTCTCGTGCACGACGCGGGTCCGATGACGACGACGAGCTCGGAGTAAATGTCGCCATAGAGGGAAATGGGGGATAGGGCGGGCTGCGTGGGCGTCGCGGAGAGTCGTGCGTCGTGCGCGAGGCGGGCGCGACGATGAGGAGTCCAGAGTAAGCAAATGTTGCCGAATGGGGGTGGGGGGCCGCGTGGGCCCGCGTAAGCTCGTGCGCGACGCCGGCGCGAGGACGAGTGTAGAGCAACTGTCGCGATGGGAGCACGTGCTCCGAGCACAGGAGCGTGCTCCAGAAGCGCCGTGTACAGGCACGTGCTCCAGAAGCGCCATGCGCCAGGAATGAGACGGACGAATCATGGATCTGGAAATTACGGCTGGTTGTACTCGGTCCTTGCTGTACAATTCAGTGGATTGTTTATTGCTCTGGCCACCTCGTTACGGGCGGAAGTTAATGCCGAGCCCCGCAGAGGGCGGGATCGCCCAGGGGAGAGAATGATAGTAAACAGTCGCACTCGGGGAACACAGCTCTGCCCCCCTGAGAGGGGAGGAGAGGGCGGACTATGAACATGTGTTCAAATGGCATGAGTACAGGATCAGCAGTGTAGGAAGAACACTTCTTGGAGTAATTTCACATAAGTTTATGATGTGGATCTGTATAATGTACACATATATCATTTGTATGAACACCGTTGGGAACTTTCGTGGGGAGGCCGACCAAGCAGACTCAATGATGACGACGACGCCCACGAGCAGGCACGCACGCAATCCAACTCATCAACCGGCGGCCAGGGCGCTGCCGCGAGACGGGCCCCCCCCTCCGCGTCTCTTGGTCGCCACCCCGGATCAGTCCGGGCTGGTGTGACCCGCAGCGGCCTCCCCCCCCCTCCTCCTCCTCCTCCTCCTCCTCCTCCTCCTCATCCTCCTCCTCCTCAACCCCCCCCCAGGCACTCCGCGCCCCAGGGGCGCCGCCGGCGGGGCCGCGGGGCTGCTCAGACTGGCCTCTACCACCCCTCCCCCTGGGTGCCTGCCGAAGCCCCCCCAAGACCACGTGACGGGGCTGCCCGTGCGGAGCCCCGGGCACCGCCACCCGAGAACCCGACCGCGACCGAACGGAGCGACGCCTCCAACAAACGCGTCTGCGGCGGCGGCCGATGGAGGGAAGCATCAACAACTGGTACCGCCACAATCGCAACGAGCTTGGGAGGGTCCTCCTGGCAGGGCTGAGTTGGGTCGAGCCGCTCCAGACCGAAACTAGAACGCCGCCCTGGCCGATGCGGGCGAATCGAACCGAATCGAACCGAATCGGAGTCGCGGCCCAAGACGGCGAACCGAATCGCCCGCCTGGTGGTCTGGACGCCCGTACTGCGGAGCCCCGATGGAGAAACCCTACCACAACGGCCATGGTGCTACCTGCTACTATAAGGAACGCTGGACAAGGAACAGAGGGCCCGAATGAGCTCCACAAGCTACATTGAAGGAACGGCCCGAAAGCCAGAGCCCCCTCCTGAGCCCGATGTGGTCCTCGTCGTGGGCGAAAGACAGCTCCGCATCTACGGCCTCGCGGGCTGGGCCCCAGGGGAGCGACCCCGCAGATGTGGGGCGTCTCGTCGCGCATGCCCCGCGCAGAACGCACCCGTGCGACGGCGTATCCGCGGGATCGCACCCCGGAACCCGCACCGCGAGGGCGCGGACACGGACATGTCCGCCGCTCGTGCTTGCCAAGCAGCCTTGCCTGTAACCGTCCCGCTCGGGGAGGCACCACGGGGCCTCGCTGCCGGCGGGGTGCCGCCCCTCCCTGGCCCCCCAGGGGACGGGGGCCGCTCCTGCTGCCAGGGCGAGCTCACCTCGGCCTGCTGCAGCGGCTCCTCCGCGCGGGGGGCCAAGCCGCGCCCACGCCGGCCGCTCCCTCCTCAAGAGTCGTGTTTCGGTGGGGTCGGGCCTGCGAGCGCCACAGCATGCCTGCGAGCAGCAGGGCAGGCGGGTCAACACCACGGCATGCCTGTGAGCACCGCGCCAGGCCCCCGCGCAGGTTCGGTACCTTTACAGGGAACCGCCAGTGGGAAAACCAGGAGGTACTACCGATACAGCTTCTCCCTGGACCTCTCCCGGGGTGCGTTCTGACCAGAGTTTCGAAGCAAATCCAGTGGTGGCGACGGCCCACAATTCCGAGGCGAATCCAGTGGTGGCGACGAGGGCCTCCCAGGGTACCCAAAAAGGCGAAAAGGAGAGAAGGGTAGTAGCATGGGTACCTTGTTTCCTGTGATTTACGTGGAGGGGAGAGAAACCAACAGCCAACCTCCGAAACCTGTGTCCCTCAGTGCCCCCCTCTGATTCACTAAACTCCTTACACAACATCCCTTGGAAGTCCGCACGGATTCCTCGGATCGGCGCGCCGCCCTGGGCGGGGGGGGGGGGCAGCGTCGATCCAAGAGATCCACGCTGAACGCCGAGCGTTTGCGTTGTTTCCGTCTTCGCTCGAGCAAGACCACCTCTGCTTCACGGCGAGGGTCGGGGATCGGCACGCTCCCGACCAGGGCTGCTCCCTTTGGGTATGGGGGGGGGGGCGCGGCTGCGCGCAGGCAGAAGAGCCCCGAATCGAATCGATAGGTCGGATCGGCGACCAAGATGAAGAATCGGGTCGGCGGACATCGGCAGCCAAATCGAGAGAAGTCGAGTCGGCGGAAATCGTCAGTCTCGTGGGCATCCATGGGAGAAACCGAGATCCGAATCGGAATCGGAATTCGAATCGAATCGGAATCGACCGAAACAAATGAAACAAAAATCCGACATGAATGATTCGAGTCGGAATCGAGAATCGATCGATCGAAATGACTGAGTCGAGCGGGAGCCGAGGAAGGAGCCCTGCAGGTCCTCCTGCTGCGAGGCGGCCTGCGGGGTCGGGAAGAGCACGGCGCGCAGGCACTGCGGGGGGCGCCAGGTGCCCTGCGGGGGGAGGGGGGCCGCCCGGAGGCGGAGGGAAGCGAGGCGGCGCGACGGGGAGGACTCGCGGGGAGCACGTGCTCGCCCACGGAGAGGGATCGGGGATCGAGAGACTCCTCGGACCAGTGCTTGCACTTGGGGGCAGGGGAGCCCAGAATCGAATCGATCGATAAGTCGGATCGGCGATCGAAATAAGTCGGATCGGCAGAAATCGGCAGCCGAGTCGGGAAAAGTCGAATCGGCGGAAATCGGCAGGCTAGTATGCGTCCAATAAGAAAGCGGAGCCCAAATCGGAATCCGAAATTGAATCGAATCGGAATCGGAATCCATCGGAGTCGAATCGAATCGAATCGGAGGGTTCGAAACGAGCCCTGTGGGGGTGCCTCACGTCTGTTCCCAAGAACTGGGTCCGACCACGAGGGGGAGGGGAAGGGGCACAACCAATGGCATACACGTAAGTGAAAGCTTTGAGATCCGCGCGGGTTCCTCCGACTTCTCGGACCAGAGCGGCGCGACGACGAGGAGGATGACAGGGAGGACGACGACGAAGAGGAGGACGACACCGATGGGGGAAAAGGAGGACGACCTCCATGGCCATGGACCTCGCGGAGTCGAAGGTGCAGGCATCGATGATCACGTCCGCGGGGTTCGAGTCCTCGGAGAACTCCAGGCCGAGGACCTTGCATAGGGGCCCTCGGCGCACCCACCACATCAAAAAGGAACGAACACTGCATATACGCATGAGCTGTGGGAGCTTCGCGCGGACCTCCGAATGATTACGTTTACGCCGTTTATTTCGGGGGCGCGCAAACATGGATTAGCGATCCATAGACTTGGCGCGCGGTCGCCAAATCCATGGATCCGGAGAGGTGCCTTCCCCAAAATGCGGCCGGTGCCGCCTCGCTCGGCCGCGGACGTCCGCGATTTTCCATGGACCATGGAAACGGGACCCGTCGCTAATCCCCCCCCCCTGAATCCATGTTTGCGATCGCCTGATTCTTGTTCTTCGGCATCGGCTAGCTGGCTAGCTCCACCTTATCCTCCCCCTCCTCGCCCTTGGGGACGACGGGATGCACAGCGATCAACATTGGAGGAGGCAATTGAGAGGGGAGCTGTGGCGGTGCGAGGTGGGCCGGCAAGGGCGACGACGGGGGGAGCCTCCTCCCTCATCCATGTCCTCTATAACCGCCAGTCGACAGAAATATGTGGAAACGTAAAATAGGAAGGCGGATCAAGCAAATTGGGTTTGGGCCCGTCCAGAGAATGGCAACACACAAGAACAGCATATCGACTCTTGAATAGTAAGGCTCTCGGAGCACACTGGAGTCAACAAATACGCATTTTCAGCGACCAGAAAGCATGCCCTAAGAGAAAATATACCGCCGAACAAGACTTACCAAAGTTACACTCTCGCCGGCAAGAGAACTCCCGAGGCAGGCAGCTGTGGCATCGGGAGCCTGGGACCAAGCCCTGGCAACCCAAGGCCCAAACAACTAACCCGGGCTCAAACATGGCCCCCGCGGTCATGTCAAGGGCAGCCCCAGAACGTTTGTTCTCATCCACCACCCCTCCCTTCTCCTCGTGATCTTTCTCCTCCTCTTCCTCCTCCTTCTCCTCCTTCTTCTCCTCCTCCTCCTCCTCCTTCTCCTCGTCTTCCTCCTCCTCCTCCTTCTCCTCCTCCTCCTGTTCCTCCTCCTCCTCCTTCACCCTCTCCTTCTCCTCCTCCTCCTCCTCCTCCTCCTCCTCCTCCTCCTCCTCCTCCTCCTCCTCCTCCTCCTCCTCCTCCTCCCCCCCTCCCCCTCCTCATCCTCCCCTCCCCTCCTCCACCTACTCCTCCTTCCCACTTTACGCGCGAGTGCGCGCCGGGTACCAGGAGGGGGGGAACGGGCTGCGTGCGGGAAGCGCCGCAATGGGCGCCCTCCGCCCTTAGGCTTCTCCGTCTGTGGAGGGAAGGGGGGGGGGTTCAGGGCTCGCGCGAGCGGCGCGGGGAACGAGGGAGGCAAGATCCTTCTGGCGCTCGCAGGTGGCGCCTGTCACGGGGGGACAAAGGACTGCATAAACCTCCTCCTCCTCCTCCTTCAGCGCCAGCTGGCGCGGAAGGCCTGCCAGCGCCACTCGCGCCGCGACCCCTCCCCTCGGCCAACGAAGACGGCCGAAGGGAGGGGTGCCAACGTACTTCCACAACTCAGACCTTCTTGACCGTAAGGCGCCAATTGCCCCAACCACTGTTTCCACCCGCCGCCCCGGCACCCACTCAGGCGCCCGGCATGGAGGCGCCCCAGCGGCGCATACCAGCGCGCCGAGCGCAGCAGCGCCGCGCCGGGAGGCGAACTGCTGAGCGGCTGCTGGCGGCCTTCGCGGCGCTCGGCAGCCACCGAGGCTGCGCCCCGACCCGCCTGGGAGCCGCCCTGGCAGAGGCGCCGGGGCACTCGGGGGCGCAAGCCGAGCGCGGGGCCGAGGAGACAGATGAGACGGCGCGTGCCGCGGACGCCCATCTCTCGGGGGCTGCTGAAGGTGTCCCTGGCCCCAAGTGCCCCCAGCTTTTCGCTACATGTTGGAGCTCCTGGGGCCCTCTGGGCCTCGTGAGGGATGCTCTGATGGCCGCGGGGGCCTCCTTGTAAATCCTGGGGGCACATTGGGACAGGGCCAGTTCTAGCAACACCCGAAAACTTGACCAGCTCCCACGAGGCGGAGGAGGAGAAGTCAGGCAGATCCACCTCCTGGAACAGCTCAGACTCGAGGCTGCAGCTGAGCGGTGGGCAAAGGAAACGCAGGGAGCCGAGAGCCTGAACGAGGCCCCGCTCCTAGCCGAAACCGAGCGCCTGGCGGAGGCAGATCGCTCGGCCGCCGCTGCTGCACCCCGCGGGGACCTGGAGGCGCAGCGAAGGGACCCCAGGCGAGCGCCCTCAACGCCGACGCCGAGAGTTGCGAGCATCGGAGGTGCCGCTGGAGGCCCACCGCGCCGCCCTGCGGACTGCCCCCCCGAACCAGCCCTTCAAGGCCAAGCCGCTGAGCAGCGGGCCGCGGGCCCGACGGTTGTAAGCGCTGCAAGACGGTGACCAAGCCGAGCAGCGCCGCTGGCGAAGGCGCAGGCCCGCCGAGCACGAGTGCACAGTGCAGACGAGTGGCGGGCAGGGCAGCCTCTGGACAACGAGCTGACGAGGCCCGAACGCCTGGCGGAGGCGCAGCGCCGCGCCGCGGACGCCCGCTGGCAGCTGGCGGAGGCGCAAGCGGACTCGGTCCGGGAGACCGTGGCGCGGGCGGCGCAGACAGCCTTCCTGAGAGCGGCGCGGGCGCTGGCGCAGCAGAAGTCAGAGGCCGAGCAGCCGACGGCGTCGGAGCGCCTAGAGACGGTGGCAGCAGCTGAGCCGCCGACGGCAGCGGAGCGCCTCGTTTAGGCGCGGCGCCAGGAGCAGGCCGCGCGGCTCCGCCCGAAGCCGCGGCCGCCGCCCCCCCCCGCAGCTGGACCCCGACGCGAAGAGCTGGCAGAGGCGCGGCGCTGGGCTCCACTGGCGAGACGCGCGGAAGAAAAAGAAGAAGAAGAAGAAGAAGAAGAAGAAGGAATCCAGCGCGCGGCCACGGTGACTCCGGAAGGGGAGGGAGGGCACAGACGAGGCGGGCGCCGCAGCGAGCCACACACACACACACACACCCTGGGAAGCCCGTCGAGAAAGCGGGCATGCCCATGGGAGTGGCCAGAGGCCGAGGGCACCAGCGCGCCGCCCACCGCGCCGCTGGGGAGCAGTGCGGCGCAAGCGGCGCCAGTGCGGGCGCCGCATATCCTGAAAGGAAGTCCCTCGAGACGGGGGGGCATGCCCGAGGGAGGCGCCTGCAGCGCGCGACCGCCATGCGTCTCGTCACTCGACGCGGGAGGAGGTACCCAGGAAGCCTCCTCCTCCTCCTCGTCCTCCTCGTCCTCCTCCTCCTCTCCCCGAAAGGTCACCAGAGGCTTGAGAAACCTGTAGAGGTCCCCAGATGTCCCCGGAGCCCTCTAGAGAACGAATAGCGCTACAAGCAGAGTACAGGATGCCTAGAACAAAAACACACAGGGGACCGACTGGAAACATAGTTTCTGCCGTCGGGAAAAGTGTTGGAGAGAACGACGAACGAATCCCAGTGAGGACGACGCCGACAAACAAGTCTGGAGCCCATGTGTAAATCATCGCCCAGGGCGCTGCTACCAGTGACGACGATGCCAACGAACCAACCTAGAACCCGATGTGTTCATCATCGCCCAGGGCGCTGCTGCGAGGCGGGCCTGGCCGGGCAAATCTTAATCCCATCCTGAATCAAACTATCGGAGATCCGCGCGGACCTTTTTAAGTCGGCGATGGGCTTCCCCCTGGCAACGCCTCCGGCGCCGCCCTTGACTAGCTCCGCGGGCCAAGCGGGTGGGGGGGGGAGAGGCAGCATCGACCCACGAGATCCGACTGGACCTCCAAAAGTGTACGTAGCACCCCGCAGTTGCGGATAAGAGTGAGGGGACGTCGTCAGTCTGCGAGGCTGTGAAGAAGCCCGCCGTAGGCGCACAATTTGTCAAGCTATACAACAAACCCGCCGCAAGCGCCGATTTCTGTTAAAACAATGTCGGTGGGTCGCGGGTTGGGTCGCGGGTGGGTCGCGGGTGGGTCGCGGGTGGGTCGCGGGCCAGGTAGCGGGTGGGTCGCGGGTGGATCGCGAGTGGGTCGCGGGTTAGTCGCGGGTTAGTCGCGAACGGGTCGCGGGCCGGGTCGCGGGCGGGTCGCAGTTGAGTCGCGGGGTGGGTCGCGGGCGGGTCGCGGGGTGGGTCGCGGGCCGGGTCGCGGGGGAGACGACGACAACAACCCACAACAACAACAACAACAACAACAACAACAACAACAACAACAACAACAACAACATCAACAACAACAACCACAACAACAACAACAACAAGAACAACAATCAGTTTAATACTGCTAGCTCCTATCTGCTCATGTGCCAATCAATACGTATATCCCAAACCCTCGGTACCCGCCCTCGTCGTCTTCGATCGTACCCCCTTGGGGGTATATCTTCCTTACCTGCCACGTGTACTTAATGCAGCCCCTTAAACAAGAGAAGGGAGGACGGGTGAAAGGGGGAGTGAGAAGAATGGAGCACGGGACAAATCAGCAGGAGGGGGGCAAGGACCAGAAAAGAAATGGTAGAACCAAACGGGCAGATCGGGTGGGCAGACCCATAGCGGGCAGGTCGGGAAGGCGGGCCCAAGCGTGGGTCCTGCATGAATCGCGGGGAAGTCTCGAGCGATAACGCGACTCCTCAGAAAATCGTGAGAAAAGCCAGCGTGGGCCACGAAGGGCATAAAATCCGAGGCCACAGAGGGCAGCGACGGGGCCGCTGAGGGCAGCACTGGGGCCACGAAGGGCAGCGAGGGGGCCACAAAGGGCGACAGCGAAGCCTCGAAGGGCATGCATATGGGGCCACGACGGGAGCGAGCGGGGGCCACGAAGGGCATTCGTATACGGGGCCACAAAGGGCGACAGCGGGGCCACTGAGGGCAACAAAGGGGCCACGAAGGGCAGCGAGGGGGCCACGAAGGGCGACAGCGGAGCTACGAAGGGCATGCGTATAGGGCCACGACGGGCGCGTGCGAGCGGAGGCCACGAAAGGCATATGATGCGGGGCCACGAAGGGCAGCGACGGGGCCACTGAGGGCAGCAACGGGGCCACAAAGGGCAGCGAGCGAAGGCGACCGCGGAACCAGTACGGTCAGCGAGGGGCATCGAAGGCGGGCGAAGGGCAGCGAGCAGCGACTGCAATCATTAACGAGTTGGTCGGGCGGGCAGGCCCCGACGGGCGGGTCCAGCGGGCGGGTCGTTGAAGCGTGAGTCCTGCTTGAACCACGAGGCGATATGTAGCGGGGGCGCGATTCCTGAGTGTCGAGGTCCGGCATCTAGAGAAATTGTGAGGAAATATCAAGCGAAGCGGTTCGGTGGTAAGTTGCGAGGAAGTCGCAAGCGAAAACGCGATTCTATAATACGACTTTATAATACATTGTCAGGAAGTTTCAAGCGGGAGCCGCGGTTCGGTAATAAATTGCCAGGAAGTCCAACGCAAGAACGCGATTCTTCAACACATTTTGAGGAAGTCTCAGGCGGGAGCCGTTGTTGTTATAGTCCGGGGGAGCAACAACGCAGTTTGACCCAGACTAAATTGTGAGGAAGTCTCAAGCGGGAGCGCCGTTCCTAAGTAAATTGGGAGGAAATCTCAGACGGGAGGGTGGGGTCATGAGCAAACTTGGAAGAAGTCTCAGGCGGAAGCCGTTGTTGTTATAGTCCGGGGGGGCAAGAGCACAATTTAACCACCAAGACTTTCCCTGTCAAAAAGGCAGGGTGCGAGCGTCGAGGGGCACACTTTGACTGAGAACAAACAAAATGCACCAGTGAGGGGGATCAACAATAATTATTCTTGAGAAATGAGAGCTCAACAGCAGCAACAACAACAACAGCGCAACAAACATAATTCTCACCACGGATCCTCACTTTAGCCACGCACCCAGGGACAATGAATGACCGTTCGGCCCTGGTCTTCGGTATCAAGCGGACACACAGAAGGGGTCGGATGGTCGCGCCACAGCGCCCGTGCATCGCCGACGCAGCGGCGATGCATCGGCGACGTCGGCGATGCATGGGCGCCGTCGGCGTGGAGAATGTTGGGCTCCACTTTGAGCCGCATCGCCGATACGTTGCGAGACGGCGCAATTCTCTGTCCCATTTATCCAAGCCCTTTGGAAGGCCTGGCACCCTAGGAAAACTTTGGACGCCCACGGACGGGTTCTCCGCTGGCGCCAAACACCCTCCCCACGACACTGCCCAGCGCGCGAAGCGCGCTGGGGGCGGCGCCGCCAAAAAGAACGTGGGGAGAGGGTCCAGCGCCGAGAGAGACCGTGCAGGGACGTCTGGGGATTGAACTGAATGGTCTCGGAGGAGGGCCAGTCGAGAGAACGGTCTCCATTCCTCATAACGCTTTTCGACCCTTTCGGGCCTCCCGGAGTCCTGGAGGCTTCTCGTCGCCACGGCTGGGTCCGCCTAAGGATTAGGATGGACTCCGGATGGGGTCGAGGGGCGGATTTTTAGCGGTGTTCGGCCTGGCGGGAGGAGCCGTCGTTGTCTCAACTGGGCTTCCTCTGTTGGTCGCGACACCGCTCTCCTGACCTTCTCGAAGTAGGGCTTCGCGGCAGCGACCGGCCCAGCGAAGCACAGGTAGCCCCCCGGGGCCATCAGCAGAAGCATCTCGAACAAGCAGAGGGTCCCCCACCTGATTCCCATCCTTCTCCTCCTCCTCCCCTGAGATCCGACGTCGCGGAACAAATGATGAAGGCAACCCCGCAAGAAATCATGACTGGAACCCCAGATACAAACTTTCTGCTGCATTTTTGGAGCCGGAGCCATCCGTGAGGATCCCGGGGCCTGGATCTGGGCGAAACCGCTGGTGCGAAAAACTTGCGACGCACGAGATTCAGGGTGCTACCACCCTCGCACCATGTCCCCCATCCCTCATCCGCAGCCTCGCCCATCCCCTCTGCAACTCGGCCTTTTCGACGAGGCCGCCTCGAGAGGGACTGCAGAGCGGGGCATGGCGACCAGGATGGGGGAGATCCACGCTCTTTCAAATAATGCAACTCCGTCTACCCCCAGACGCCCCTCAAGACCTCCCCCCCCGGACCAAACACAGAGGCCCCAGACCGCCCCAACAAAAGTAACCAGAAAACCTCTACCCTCGACGGAGACGAGAACGATGATGAGGGCCATCGCGCCTGGGCTGGTGGATGGTAGCGAACGCCGTGCACTCCTCGTCCTCTGCTGGTGCTGGCCCCGCCCCTGCTGAAGGCCAGGAGGCCAACGAAGCAACCGAACAGTCGCCTTTGAGGGACAGCTAAAGTGCAGAGCACCAGCTGGACCTCTGGAGGGCGTGATTGGCTGGCTTTGTGGTGGCCTCCTGCACCTTGAAGGGGCAGGTTCACCACGGTCCTTGGCGCACTGCAGCACGATCTGCAGGATGTGGTGCGCGGTCGCCGAGTCCAGGCCCGTCGACGGCTCGTCCAGGTGGAGGACCTTCGGCTTCGCGACGAGCTCCATGGCGATGGAGACCCGTTTGCGCTGGCCGCCTGACAGGCCATCGCTGATGACGCGGTCTGCGACGTGGGTAAGCTCCAGGCCGTCGAGCACGTCCTCTATGCGCCCGTCGACGGTCGAGTCTTGCTGCAGCAGCGGCGCCGTGAGCTCGGGCTCCTCGGCAGCCTCGGCCTCGCGCCGCAGGCGGAGCTCGGCCTGGCACTGGACACACTCGCGGACCGTCAACTTGAGGTGCATCACGTCGTCCTGCGGCACGTAGCCCATCAGGGGCCTCAGCTCCGCCATCTGCCACGGCTGCACAGGCGCGCCATTGAGGCGCATCTCGCCTTCGAACGCGCGGTCCCCACACCGGCCCGACAGCACAGAGAGCAGAGTGGTCTTGCCGCTGCCCGAGGCGCCCATGACCGCCACGGTGGCGCCAGGGGGCACCACGAGGTTCAACTCGTGAAGCAGGGCACGGCCCGACGCCAGCCGGTAGCCGACGCCGCGGAGGTCGAACGACACACCGCTCTTGGGCACAGCGGCTGCACCCTCGCTGCTGCTGCCCTCGAGATCACTATGGCACTTGCTCCAGTACGTCACCCACGGCGCCCACGCCTCCCTGTCCATAGCTCCTGTGAGCGAGCCGCATGCCGCACCGCTCTCGCCCTCGGCGACGCCCTCAGAGAAACTCGCACGCGCGGAGGCGCGCACGGCAGCGGCGCTGTCTTTCTCCGCCGCGCTCGCCTCGGGAGGCACCATCTCCAGCATGGCATCGATCAGCGAGTTGCTCGGTGTGCGCTCTGGCATGGAGCCGCGCCGCAGCCAGCTCAGCCTGCGTGTGCGTTTCACCGCTGCAGCGAGGCAGCACGGAACCACGTCCCACAAGGAGGCCTGGATCACCGTGGCAAGAAGCCCGTACACCTGCGCCACAGCCATGTCGCCAGCGCCGAGGATCAGGAAGGCGAGAAACTGCAGCGCCAAGCCCCCGAGTAGCAGCCCGAGCCGGAGTCGCAAGGTGCCGCGCTGCGCAAGGATAAGCCAGACGGTCACGCAGACCCCCGCGTTGAGCGTGAGCAACACGCAGGCGTACAGGTCGCGCAACCCGACCATCAGCGCCAGCGCGCCGACCGTGCCCGCGGCCAAATCTGCGCGCAGTCGGGCCCGCCTGTCCGGGATCCGAGCAGACACGAAGCTCCCGTACACCAAGACACATGCAGCGCCGGTGAGCATCACCAGAGGCATGACGTGGGGTCGCCCATCGAGGAGCGCCTGCATGCGCAGATTCTCCCAACCCCCGCGCCGCCAGCACAGCGCAGCCAGCAGGGCCATCGCGTCGAACCTCGCTCCCCAGGCGAGCCCCAACACCACGATAGCTGCCACAGCCGGCAGCCCGCACCCACCCTTCTGGTGCCACCTCGGCACGGATCGCACTGCCACGGTCCACGTCAGCAGAGCGAGGGCCAGGGAAAGAGCCGCCACCAACAACCAGTCTTGGTGCTCTGACCCCTCTGGGCAGGAGGCCATAGCTGCGCAACCCTGGGGCCGGCTGACGCCCGTGGCGCAAAAGTGGCCCCTCGGGCAGGTGATCGCGGCGCCGCTGGGGCAGAACGAGCCGGCGGGGCACATCTCTGCCTTGGTCGAGTTCTCTGGGCAAGAGAAATTCGCCTCGCAGCTCTGCCGGAGGATGCTGATGGGGCAGAAGCTCCCCTCCGGACAAGATCTCGGCTCCACCGTGCCTGAGGAGATCAAAGACAAAAGGATAGTGCGTTTCTTCTTCTCCCCGCAGAAGGGGACGAAAGGAGGGAAGAGCAGGATAGGGAGAGGAAGAGGCCAAATCTCACCACTACCCCTGAGATTTACATTGCCCTGAGCGCCGCCCATGCACACCGAGCCTCGCGGGCATGCGTGCGGCGCCTTTGTGCCCCCAGGGCAGAAGAAGCCGGGGGGACACATCATGATGCTCTGCTGCAGCATGCAAGTCTCGACTGGGCTGATGCTGTACGAATAGCGGCGCACCAACGACCACAAGCAGAACTTGCCAGGCTCGGCGTGGCACCGACTCTCGGTAATGGCACCTGGCATGGCAGGGCGGGCCACACAGCAATGCCTGTCGGTGCAGCCGCCACGAAACCCAATTGGGCAGTCTGGATGGAATGCCCAGCGTTTGCAGCAGACGCCGCCTCCGCAGAATCCGGTGGAGCAATTGCCAGCCCTCTGGCCGCACTGGTCGCGGCAAGCCATGCCCCTGTTGATCAACTGCTGCTCCACCAGCCTTCTGCCTCCTGCTCCTTTGCGCAGCGCCTCCAAGCGATCTGTGCCGACCTCGACACGGACCCTGGATGCACCTTCGACCGCAGACTGAAGGCTGAAACCAGCAGCTCTCCCGCACTCGATGGCAAGGTCTCTCTCAACCAGCTTTAACAACGACTTGTGGAGCTTGGGCGTGGCAGTACCGCCAAGGCCTGGCCCAGACCCGTCGACAGGATCCAGCCCGTCGAAAGCTGGCCTGAGCTTCTCGTCGACCCCTGTGTCCGAGAGATCTGGCACGCCGCCCCTGTGGCCGTGCGACGTCAGCAGCCCGTCCAGCATCTGGGCCCAGAGCTCGGAGTCCGCCAGCGACTGGCCCTCGCGTATGGGCAGGACGCAAGTGCCGTCGAAGCTGGCGTCGCCCGCGACCTGGGGCGGGAGCAGCAGCACCGCAGCCCAGGGCGCGCGGGCCCGGCGCGCACGCGCCGTCATGGGCGCCGCCGCCCTGCAGGAGCCGCCAGCGGCGCCACCGCCTGGCGGCCTGCGCCGAGCGGCCCGCGCGGGCGCGGAATGAAGCGCTGTTGAGCCAAGTGGCCGTGGACCAAACGTTCTTCGCACTCTGGCTCCAGTGTGCTCGGGCAGCTGAGCAGGCCCCGAGGCAGAGTCACAGGACGCAGCCGCTGGGACGAGCAACAAACAGAGCATACGGACACTCACATGTGTGTGGCTTGATCCTCCCTCGCACTCTTTGTTGTTGCGCTGTCGAGCCAAGTTGCCGTGGTCGCAGGCAGGCGCAGCAAAGGTCACTCTTGCGACCGCTCGGTGGCGAGCCCCAGGGGGCCAGGCAGACGGGGCGGGCCCTTCTCACAGGGCTCGGAACGCCTCCGGCCTTCGGAAGAAGTCTTCTGAGCCTGCTCCGGAGACAGAGACGGCCTGGCAGAAGCTTCTGAGACGCCTCGCCGCCTTCTGAGCAGGCCTGCCCCTTCTGACTTCCCCCCTGGGCGAGCCGCCGAAACACTGCGCGAGCTCTGCCCCCCTGCGGGCCCCGTCGACGCCAGGGCATTGGACGCTCCCGCTGGGGCTCACCCGAGCTGCAGACATCCTTCAGGCTCTGAGCCCCAGCCTGGCGGGTCAGAACTCTGGCCTTGCAGAGGTAGAGTTCACGTGTGGTTGCCGACCCAGCCATCCGACGTCCTGATGTCTTCAACGGGACCCCAGAAATCCCACGGCCCAGGGAGAGCCCAAATTGTGCCGGTTTGTCCCCAACCGTCCTGTATTGGATCGCAGCTCCCGGGGTGGTTGCGGACTGCGCAACTGTCGCCAGTCGTGGGCTCCTGAGAGGCACGGCGAAGCAGGAGAGTACGCGCAACAAGATAGGACCTCGCAGCTCCCTGGGGGGCTGCGAACTGCGCAACGGTCGCCACTGTCGTGGGCTCCTGGGAGGCATGAGGGAGTCGCAGAGCACGCGGATGCGGACGGGACCTCGCTGCTCCTGGGGGGCTGCGGACTGCGCAACTGTCGCCACTTTCGTGGGCTCCCTGAGGACACGGCGGAGTCGTGGTGTACGCAGACCCAGGACGCGGGAGAGACCTCGCAGCTTCCTAGGCTGATGCGAAATGCGCAATTGTCGCCACTGTCGTGGGCTCCAGGAAGGTGCGGTGAAATAGAGGGGTACGCGGATCCAGACGGGACCTCGCAGCTCCGGGGGGGGCTGCTATCTACGTAGCTGTCGCCACTTTCGTGGGCTCCTGGGAGGCACGGCAAAGAAGAGTACGCGCACCAAGATAGGACCTCGCTGCTCCCTGGGGTGCTGCGAACTGCGCAACGGTCGCCACTGTCGTAGCCTCCTGGGAGGCATGAGGGGGTCGCAGAGCACGCGGATCCAGACGGGACCTTGCGGCTCCCTGGGGGGCTGCGGACTGCGCAACTGTCGCCACTTTCGCGGGCTCCTGGGAGGCACGGCAAAGTAGGGGAGTACGCGCACGCAGACGGGACCTCGCTGCTCCCTGGGTGACTTCGGGCTGCGCAATTGTCGCCACTTTCGCGGGCTCCAGGGAAGCACGGCGGAGTCGCAGAATACGCAGATCCAGACGGGACATCGCTGTACCGTTGGTGGCTGCCATCTGCGCAAGCGTCGCCACTTTCGTAGGCTCCAGGGAGGGACGGCGGAGTCGCGAAGTACGCGGATCCAGGCAGGACCTCGCTGCTCCCTAGGCGGAGGCGAACTGCGCAACTTGCGCCACGTTCGTGGGATCCTGGGAGGAACGGCGAAGTCGGGGAGCAATGTCAGCTTGTGATCAACAACTGAGGCTGATGAATCACCCCGCGGCTGATGAGTAACCCCGCGGGGCGCGAAACAATTTCACCGCGCACGCCAAGGGGTCGTCGCGGGCGCTGTCGAGGGGATCGTCTACCCCCTTGCACGGCAGCCTGAAAACGATTGCCCTTCGTATAGAAGTTGTTAAGGGGGTCGTACACATCCGAGGCGAAGTTTTTCCCCTTCTCAGGCTGATTACTGACGTGCCACAGTGGTCGTCGTCGTCCTCGTCCTCGATCTCGACGTCGTCGTGGTCGTGGTCGTGGTCGTCGTCGGCTACAGCGGGCCGGGCCTACGCAGCGCTCCCCACCACCCCGCCATGGGGCATCCGCAGTGCGTCGTCGTCGCCGCCGTCGTCGTCGCGTCGGTGACGTCGTCGTCTTCGTCGTCGACTACAGCGGGCCTACGCAGCACCCCGCCCTCCCATAGGCCGCATTGCGTCGACGACCGTCGTCGTCGTCGTCGACTACAGCGGGCCTACGCAGCACCACGCCCCCCAATAGGGCCTCCGCCGCAGCGCGTTCCCGTCTCCGTCGTCTTTGTAGCCGTCGTCGTCGTCTGGGTCGTTCTCGTCCTCGTCCTTGACGTCGTCCTCGTCGTCGTCGTCGACTGCACGTCGTCGTCGTCGTCGTCGGCGTCGTCGTAGTCGTCGTCATCGACGTCGTCGTCGTCGTCCGTCGTCGCCGTCGCCGTCGCTGTCGCCGTCGCCGTCACCGTCGCCGTCGCCGTCGCCGTCGTCGTCAACGACGTCTACAGCCTTCATGCGCAACACACCTTCACACTGCATACGCAACGCCCCCCCACATGGAGCGCCCGCAGTGCGTCGTCAGCCGCCGTCGCCGTCGCTGTCGCCGTCGTCTCCGTCTTCGTCGTCGTCGTCGTCGTCGTCGTCGTCGTAGGACGTTGTAGTGTGGACGTTGTAGCCCTTTCCGCCTGCCTCTTCTGCTCCCCCTCTCTTCCTTGTCTTGTTTGTAGCCATGTCGGCACTGCCCGCCAGCCGAAGTGTCTCTTTTCCCTGCCTCCTCTTTCTCTCCTGTCTGTCGCCATTTTGGCGATGCTGTGCCCCCCCGCTGAAGCGGCGCCGCTTGCGTCGCGCCTGTCGCCCTCCTGCAATCGGCCGGGCGTTCGCGCCAATCACTGGCGCCGCCACCGTGTTTCAATTCGGCGGGCGCCCCCCCGGCGATTTTCCCGAGCACAGAAACCATTGTTTTAATCACGCGCTTTTGTTAATCACGAGCTGACACTACGCGCATCTAGACGGGACCTCGCAGCTCCCTGGGGGGCTGCGAACTGGCAGTTGTCGCCATTTTCGTGGGCTCCTGAGATGCACGGCGGAGTCGGGGGGGCGTACACGCACACTCAGACGGGACCTCGCAACTCTCTGGGAGGCTGCGAACTGCGCAACTGTCGCCACTGTCGTGGGCTCCTGAAAAGCACGGCGGAGTCGGAACCCACGCGCACGCAGACGGACGGCGGAGTCGTGGAATACACGGATCCAAACTGGACGCCGCAAATCCCGGGCGGGCTGCGAACTGCGGGTTTATCGCCACTTTCGTGAGCTCCTGGGGTACGCGGATCCAGACGGGACTTCGAAGCCTGTGGGGGCTCCGAACTGCGCAACTGACGCCACTGTCGTGGGCTCCTGGGGGGCACGGCTGACTCGCGAAGTATGCGGTATGCGGATCCAGACGGGACCTCGCAGCTCCCTGGGCGGATGCGAACCACTTTCGTGGGCTCGTTGGACGCACGGCGAACGGACTACGCGCATCCAAACGGGACCTCGCTGCACCCTGGGTGGATGCGAATTGCGCAATTGTCGCCACTTTCGTGGGCTCCAGGGAGGCACGGCGGAGTCGCAGAACACGCAGATCCAGACTGGACATCGCTGTTCTGTTAGTGGTTGCGATCTGCGCAATTGTCGCCCCTTTCGTACGCTCCAAAGAGGGACGGTGGAGTCGCGAAGTACGCGGATCCAGGCAGGACGTCGCTCGTTTTTCCCCAGCGCAAGCGAAGCTGTACATAGTTTTGACTCCACGCGCTGGCGAAGATCTAGAGGCTGAGATGTAATCTGGGTTTCAATTATAGCTCCAAGAATTACCACGAAAACTTAAAAGCCAGATGATACGGCAGCAGAAAGCACTCGCCGACAGCTGCCTGCAACACCAGTGGCGGACAAACCCTGCCCCCCCCCAATGGATAGCAAGGGCACAAACAAATGTCACGGAATCGGTGCGCGGGCAATGTTCTCCTAAGCACTGGCGGGGGGAGGGAGAAGGAGGAGGACGGAGAAACGGGCGCGCATGGCGAATGATACGACATCCGTTGGAAACGTATCGGCCCCGCGGGTGCACAGCAATTGTGTTATAACCCCTACTAGGAGGCCCAAACGGCCAAGCAAATGAATCCAACACAACATTATGCAGGAAGGAAGGGGAGGAGGAGGAGGGAAGGACGAGGACGAGGGGGGAACGGGCGGACAAGTTACTGTAGTCTCTAAGCCATCCCAGCTCGGATGACCTACAAAACGAACGCGCTGACCTGTAAAGACCGTGCAGGAAAGCCCCACCGGCGTGAGACTGGCAAGGCAAAGAATTGCATCCCGAAGGCAACTGATAGACTGAGTGGTGGATGAGGCTGTCCACCCGGACGTACCGGGTGGAGGCGGCAAGCCAGCGAAAGCAGCGCGGGCTGGCAACGGCTCCCGGGAGGGAGCGGAAGAAAAGACCGGGCGGCACGTCATTGGCCCACCCCCGCGCGCAGTCGGCGCAAGCGCCAATTCTTCCCACGGGAACGGCCACCCCAGCGCACTCCGCGCCACGCTCCCAGGACAGGAGGAGGGGGAGGAAGCGGGAAGGAGCGGAGGGAGAAGGAACGGAAGAGAGAAAGGCGACGGCACGCCCAGGACGGGCGTTCTCGGCGCTCTCGGCCCCCACAGCCGCGAAGCTTTCCGCGCGCAGGCGCACCGGGGCATGCCGGATGAAACGGGCAGCGCGAAAACAAAATCTGTATACGAGCTAATGATGTGTGAGAACGATGGCCTCATTGACTCGGGTGACACTGCAACCCTGGTGGTCGCCATGCTGCCTGCGACACCTTGCCTGGAGCAACACGGCGGGCTGGACAACGTAAACATGGACGCGCGGGAGGAAGAAGGAGGAATCGGCACAACAGTCATCAG